ACTTACGATGCAATACCAGGGACTAGAAATTGAAAAGCTGGGAATGCCAGATTTCATTCAGCAAAATGACAATGACCCCAAACGCAGCAAGAACCATAAAGATTTTCCTCAACAACAAAAAGAACAAGTAGTCTTACAACAGGTGGTGATCTCAACGCCATGGGACCAGATTACATGAAGAGACAGTAAATACTGAGACAGATCGAATCCACAGGGTGATCACAAAAGGACCAAAAGCTGATCACATGTTGAAAGCAGTGGAGGCTGCCAGTGAGATTTCTCTTATCGCTGTTTGTCAGGACACATTGTGTTGGTCTGGTCTTTATGACACACTCACTAATAGGCCCAACACCTGCCGAAACACGTATTTGTAATATTTCATATCAGAACAGTGAGGAATAACATACAGTACAAGAGAAGTAAATGTCTTATACTGAGGCCATGGGTGTGAAACAGTTTTCCTTTTTTTTATTTTTGGAAAGATGTGCTTGAGCTTCCAGGTTGACCGATCGGCTCACTGAGTAGTTCAGGTTTTTTTTTTTTTTAATGTCTTTTTAACCTTTTTATCGCTTTTGTAAAACCTTTTTTCACTGTTCTTAACATGGGATGGTTTGGATCATTTCCTATTTTGGTGATTTTGCAACTTTGTTTGGTTGGCATGACAACAAGCCGGCGTCCTGCTCCAGGGACTTCCTGGTACAGCTTCGGCTTCACGCTAACCAAACATCTGAAATTGATACAGCGAAGCCTCCAGAGGATCTACAACGCAGTCACTCATCCAGCTATGCCTTGGACACTAACCAAAAGAAGCAGACCTGGAGGGGAAAAAATAAAAAAGAGCGGAGTGACAGCCAGAATCCAACGGTAGCGAGGTAAACACCATCCACTTCCATCAGTCATCCTAGCTAAGGTCCGTTCATGATGCAACAAGACATATGAACTTCAAGCTAAGTTAGCATATATGCACAAATACAGGACTGCTGCAATTTTGGCTTTCACTGAAACCTGACTAAGAAGCATTGACAATAACAGTTGTCTGCATATAGACGGCTTTGGGACACTAATAAGATTTGACATTGAACTCCTGGCTGTTTACCTTCCTCCTTTTTACCTTCCTTGAGAATTCCCCTTGCTATTTTTTCCCTGGTCTACATCCACCCTAAAGCAATGGCAAATGCAGCTTCAGAGCACATCATGACTGTGTTTAACAGATTTGAACTCATGACCCCTGACTCTCCAAAATTTGTCCCTGGTGATTTTAAGCACTGCAGTGCTGATAATACATTTTTAAAAGGTTTTTTATCAGTATATCACCTGCACCAACTGCATGAGTAAGACTCTTGATAAATACTTTGGATCTGTTCCTAATGCATATAAATCTGCTGCCCTCCCTCCACTTGGATCTACTGACCACACCACTATTCTGCTTCTACCAGCCTGTTGTGAGGAAAGCAGAGAAGGCTGTTAAAAATGTCAAGCAATGGACAAGTGACAGTATCGACAAGCTATGTGGATGCTTCGAAGCCACTGAGTGGTGCAACCTAACAGCTCCCTCTAGCAACATCAATGAGGAGGTGGACATTGGATAACATCATCCCCACCGAAGCGATCACCATTTTTCCAAATAACAAATCATGGGCGACGAAAGAACTCAAAAGTTTCCTCAACAAGAAAAAGAGAATTTTTTTTTTGGCTCTGATAAAGAGAAAAAAAGATATCAATAAAGAAGTGAAGCATGCCATAAGACTTGCCAAGCTCAAGTACAGGGACAAAGTAGAACAAAAATTCAATAGCGGGACCCTGCGTGCAGCCTGGCAGGGTCTCAAAAATACGGCAGCTGTGAATACAACTCCCACCTCTCAAAAAGCAATCCATGTTAAGGGGAATAGTCTAGCATCACTGCCTAATGATCTCAACTACTTTTTTGCAAGATTTGAGACGGATAATAGCACCCAGGTGGAGCAATCACCTAAAATCTGGTAGCTCTGTACTCACCATTAGTGCTGAAGGCTTGGTGAGAGGCTTCAAGAGGATAATGTTAACACAGCACCTGGACCTGATAAGCTCTGCGGCCGCACTCTGAAGCATTGTGCTGGACAGCTAGGCGGAGTTCCAGCTCCTCTTTCAGAACTCTGTTGCTACCTCCTCGGTCCCTCAGCTGTGAAAACACTCAACGATGATCCCCCTTCCCAAAAAAAGCAGTGTAAGGGTGTCAAATGACCTCAGGCCCATTTGCCCTAACATGTCTTGTGATGAAGGCCTTGGAGAGGATGATAAAAGATCACGTCATCACAATAGTAGGTTCTCAGCTAGACCTGCTCCAGTTCGCAGGAACAGGGGTGGATGATGCACAAGCTTTAATTACATAAACATCTGGAAACCCTAAACACAACAGCCAGGATGCCTTCTGCTGATTTCTCCTCTGCATTTGACATCCTGCAGCCACACACTTAGGCTGAAAGACTCATCATCTGCTTCTATCTTAATGACAGGCTCGTTCTGTGGATCCAAGATTTTTTAACCACAGAGAGTACTGGTGAACATTTTCTCTGATTCCAGCTACACATCAACTGGTTCACCCCAGGGCTGTGTTCTCTCCCATCTTCTGTTCGTCCTCTATACTGATGAATGCACCACCAGAACTGCCATCTGATCAAGTTTGCCGATGACACAGTCCTCCTCTCCCTGCTCTCGGGCTCGTCACACCACCACGGCTCATCTCTCATCGAGTTGGTGCGATAGATCATGACTTGAACTGAATTTGGATAAGACCAAAGAGATGGTAGTGACCTTCCCTAACAGACAGAGGGAACTGGCTGAGGCTGTAGTCACCACCGTTCACAGGGAGCCCGTGGAAGTGGTGGAGAAATACAAATACCTCAGTACAGTCTTGGACCAGCAGCTTAAGTTTGACCTCAACACGGATGAGATTCTGAAAAAATGTCATCAACGACCGTATCTCCTGCAGAAGCTGAACTCTTTCAGTGTGAGCAAAAACACCCTCTCTACATTTTACCACTCCTTCATAGAGAGCATTATCACTTTCTCTTTTACTTGCTGCTTTCACTCTATCTCTATCCAGAGCAAAAATTGGCTACTGAGTGTTGTCAAGATCTGCTCCAAAACTATCGGGCTCCCTGTCAGAGCCCTCTCCACCTTTTGTGAGCAACAGACCTTCAGGAAAGCCAGCAAGATCCTTCAGGACCCATCACACCCGCTGTTCTCTGCATTTGAGTGGCTCCCCTCTGGACGTTGCCTTTGCTGCCCAGGCTGCCGGACTCAAAGAAGGAGGGCAACCTTTGTTCCCAGAGCTGTCCTCCTTCTCAATGCACGACCGTCTTTGACCCGCTGACTCCCTGCCAATGCCCATGTAATATAATGTAAGATTTATGATGTGGTTTATTAGGGTCCGAGGACCCCTACTTGCTGCAGCAAGCAGGGGTCCTTGCCCGCAGGACCCTATTGTTCCTGCTGCGTTTCTTTCTTCTTCTTCTTATTTGCCTGACCAACGCGAAACCCTTAATTTGACCCCCTAAACACGCTCAAAAACTCACCAAAATTGGCACACACGTCCGAATTGGCTAAAAATTTGATAAAATGAAAAAAAAAAGAACAAAAATGCTCTCTAGCACCACCTAGTTACAGAAAAACACACTAAAATGGCCCTAGCGCCCAGTAGGAATATCGCACAGAGATCAAACCAACACCAAAACGTTCGTCTCAATGAGACCCACAAATCTTGCCCTGATACCCCTGACCTATCTCAAACAGGAAGTCCGCAATTTGCCTTTCAAAGTAAGAAAATGAGCTAAAACTTCTTTTGGGAAAAATTATCTTGTCTGACACCGTAAATCATACCAACTTGAAAATCGCACAGGAGACAGAGAAGGCCCTGATGTACAAAAGTTCTGAAGGGATTTGGTGTTTCTCAACCGGTTTTGGAATGGCCGTTAAAGTTGATGAGCTGTTGCAGCCTCGGCTCATACTTTGTATGGCCGTCTATGGGACATGTGCAGACATGCTGTGTCAGTTGGTCATCTACACAAGAAACCAAAGGTCCTACAGCTTATAAAATGACACTGAGGGCTTCCTAACAAGATTTACCACAAAAATATGCTGTTTTTACACATATTAGGTCAAAATTGTGGCTGTATGGGAGAGAGAAAGTGAGTAAAACTCTCAGCTCTCTCAACCAGGGGCATGAAAAACACTGAATCATCATGACATCATCACAGGTCAGTGCAGCTGGTCATGTGACTCACTGACAGTCTCAGGTTTAGAAGAGAGACTATGAAAATTGCCTATTTGTAGGGCAAAGTCCAGTGAAGGGGAATAAATTGTCAAAATGGAAGTCAGACCGGCATGCGGTTGCAACGCAGACCGAGGACCCGACCAACGCTGCTTGCAGCTTTAATTGTTTTTTTTATTTTTTTTATTTAATTTAATTTAATTTAATTTAATTTATTATAATTATTTTTATTATGGGCTGCAAGGTGGATCAGTGATTAGCACCGTTGCCTCGCAGCAAGAAGGTCACCAGTTCGCCTCCTGGTGAGGACACTGATCTTTCTCCCCGTGCAGCGTGGGTTCTCTCCGGGTTCTCCGGCCTCCTCCCACCCAGTCCAAAACCATCCATCCATCCATCCATCCATCCATTATCTAACATCAACTTGTCTCAATTTCACGATTCTGGCTCCAGATATATATATATATTTTTAATATGACAAATCTGTGAGAAACCACAGTCATTGCACTGCGTAACAAAGGGGCAGTGACTAAGTACACGGTTAAAGATTTCCGTGGAATTTTTTTATTCATCCACGAACAACAGGACAAGATGGGAATGTAAACAAAGTGATACAGTGTTTTTTTTTTTTTTTTCTTTTCTCAAATAGCAATAGACTCCTCCCAGTCTCCCGGCACCACATTACCATTACTGTTCACACCAAAGGAGTTCCCCCTGCGGATCCGGGACTATTACTCACCGATTCCCTTCATGACATTTCCTTCTTCCACACGAGCAGCGGAGCTACAAATGGGCCAGTCCACCCACACAGTCTGCCAAACTCCGCCTGAACCTGCTGCAGGAGGACACCTACTCTCTCCAGCGTTAGCTCGTAAGTCTTATCGCTTTATTTGTTTAATCACTACTTTATTTTTGTTCTATTTTTATTATTTTATTATTTAAACACTTAGATTTTCAATTACAAGAATTTAAGAAGACATCGCACCTCAAAATACCGAGCTGTTTATTCAGTCATTGCCGTTATTTTTCACATTTTTTATTTTTATTTCCAGTCTCGAATTTAAAATACCGATGGCGATTAAAACCTGTCTGACTCATCTGATGCTGCTTTTAATAATCTGGAAGGAAAGCCTGACTTGCAACGGACTTACAGGTTGGTGGAGATTAGTTTTTTTTTGGTTTTACTTTCTATGTGAATGAATTAAAACCCAGTCAGCATTGAGCTAGGCATAAATCAAATACAAAGGTTGCACTATATATGCCTGTAGGGAATGGGTGGTTTCCAGTATAAGTGAGACTTGTATCTGGAGTTTTTATTCCCTGCACTAATGTTGTATTTTGCATTTACATTCAGTACTAAAAAGCTTCCTGCAATAGGCACCGCCTGTGTAAATATCCTATATCATATACTAACTGAAATGTATGAACCCTTTTCTTTTGCAGTGGATCCTCCTGAGAACCTTACAGTATTAGACCCGGGTCATCTTGGACATCTGCAGATCTCATGGAGCCCCCCGGGCAGCCTGATCAACATGACAAACTGCTCAATAGTGTATCACCTGGAATACTTCAACACATACAGGAACAGCTGGAGTGTAAGTATTCACCTTCTTAAATGTTTAAATTTAACATGGAGGCACTTAACCTGTCTAACCTCCTGCCAAAATGATCACTGTATTGTTATTGTGTACTGCTTTGTTAATGAGGCAATTATCGGTGCTGCTGTCGTGCCTTAATATCAGACACAAAAATGTAGATTTAGTACAGGTAAAATACTCTGTTTTGTCGCTAAGCCTTAAGCAGAGTATAGATGATGGATGGATGTTTGACAAAGACCATACTGAATATAATTAAGTAAGCAAGATTAAAACTAAATACATACATGATGATGCTTTGAACTGATGCTGGTGTCTTGCGCAATAAGGAGTCATTTGATATGACAATTATTGTGTGGTGACTAAGACAGTGATCATGGCTGTTCCTATGGTGATGACTGACGTGATGACTGTTACCGTGGCAGCTATGAGGAATACAATATAGAGTTGAGACCAGAAGTTTACAAACACTGTATAAAAAGACATAAAACCTTTCTGATAATAAACGTGACTAAACTTTTCCTGTTTAAGGTCACTGAGGATTTCCAAAACTATTTCTATTTGCTAAATATCAGAATAATGAGAGAATTTCTTCTAAGTCAGAAGTTTGCAGTGAGACATTGACCTTAAAAAAGTGAATACCATTTTTGCACAGCACTGAGCAGTTTTATTGTCCAGTTTATTGTGTAATTGCATTTAAAAGAGTGTCTCTGTGGTTAGCAGGTTATGACAGTTCATATCAGTGCTTTGGGAAATGACCATCTTGACGTAATAGCTCAAGCATCAGATTTTGGTCCTGACAACTGTAAATGACAACAAAGGAAACATCCAGTAAATGTGAATTTCAAGATGTGTGTTTCTTTATTGACAGATGACCAGGATGAATGTAAGGAGCTACACTGCCCAGTTTGATCTGATGAAAGACATCAAAGTGAGAGTGTACACCATACTGGATGGACCCTGCACCAACAACACAATGATCCAGAGCAGAAGCTATGCTGAACTGATTCAGAAACCTCCCAGCACAGGTCAGTCCTCAGGGTCTTAGTCATGTGGGAATGACCAGAAAATCTCAATGAGATATGAGTAAGCTCTAAAACGATGTCAAAAGCATATGAACTTATTTTGATTGTTTGTTTTTTTTCCATCTACATTTAGGGGTTATGGATACCGAAGTCCAGAATTTTACCTGTGTGTACCATAACAAGGAGCACGTGGAGTGCATGTGGAGAAGAAACCCGAACACACCGGCCATCTCAAAGCAAAATCTATATTTCTGGTATGTATCAAGTTCAAAACAGGCACTTTTTAGCCACCGTGGTCCTGAACAAAATATCTTCACTACTATTGATTTGACAGAGATATTCATGTTTAGGACATACGAGGTGTGAAAAAAGTTTCAGGACTGGTGTCACAAATCTAAACTACAAACTACAGGTTTTCCCCTTCAAAGTAATCCCCCTGGAGTCTAACACACTTTCCCAGCCTTCTCTGACATGCCGCCATGCACTCCTGGGATCCCCCACAGCTCCGTTGTCACAGCCATCTTGATGTTGTCCACGTCTTCAAAACGGGTCTCCTTGATGACCCCCTTGAGCTTGGGGAAGAGGAAAAAATCCCACAGAGCCAGGTGGGGCAAGTAGGGAGGTTGCATGGCGATGTTCTTCTCAGCCAGGAACTATGGGATGCTCCGGGCATTGTGAGCAGACGTGCTGTCATGGTGAAGCAGCCACGACTTGTCCTGCCACAACTCTCGCTTCTTCTTCTCGTGCACAGAACAAAGCAAACGCAGCAGGATCTCTAAGTAGACGTGCTGGTTGATCGTCTGCAGGGGAAAACTCGTAGTTTGTAGTTTGGGTTTAAAATCTATCTTTTGTGACACTTTTCTAACACACCTCATACTGTAATCAGTTTGTGTTCTTTCATCTTTTTGAAAATGTACAGTTGACTAGCAAATACATGCGCCTGAAGGCGTGGGAAACTTCTTGAGAAAAGGGCTGTGGTGAAATGCCATCAGCAGTTGTTTAGCCGGTGCGTTTCTCTTTTTATAAATCATCAGCTGTCTCGTAAAACTGTGTTGCTTTTATGTAAAACAGATTTCTGCAGAATTTAGAAGGTGCAATTAAAGAAATCAACCGTGATAAATAAGACAAGGATCTTTGATTATATAATATTTGAAATGTATCTCATGTTTCTTTCATGCCTACTGGACTTTGCTTTTATGTCCATTACAGTTGTCAATATTTCCACTCTCTTCTTGCTTTTCTGCAAAAAAAAAAAAAAAATTTGTTTGTAAAATTATATTTTTAATTTTAAAGGTTTGAACGTCACAAACTAATAGAGCACTGACTCTTGCAAAATTGAGATTATGGTTAAACCTGCTACTCTTCGCTGTATCTTATCTGTTCTGTTTCTTCTTCAGGCATAAAAAACTGGATCAGGCAGTGGAATGTCCGAAATACATGGTGTCAGGCGGCGTCAGACGCGGCTGCAACTTCACAGGGACATCTCTCCCTGAATTCGCGAATATCATCTTCTGTGTAAATGGCTCCTCCCCTGAAGGGCCCCTGAAACAAACGTTTGTCTCCCTGCAAATCCAAAACCTCAGTATGTATAAGTTTGCCTTCTGACGCAGTACAGTGTTATCAAGCGAACTGATTGTGCAAAGTAGTTCTTCACATATTTTGACTCTGTATTTGCATCATTGCATGCGTCACTGTGATCTTCCCAAGATCTGAAACATCTTTTGTTTTTTGTTTTTTTCATCTGTAATCTGTTCTTCCTTCATGCAGTGAAGCCTGCAACCACAAAGAAGCTGCATCTGCAAACATGCCCGGACAAGAAGCTGCAACTGCAGTGGGAGCGTCCTAATGGGAAGATTCCTGGACACTGCCTTGAATGGGAAGTGGAGCACAATCAAGAGGGGCCGGATGGAAAAATATCAAAGGTATGGTTTATCAGTTATGTACTGTTTTTGTTGACAGATCTAAGGCGCTCACTCTACCACCTACACCCGTCTCCCAGAGGGCCTGCACCTACCTTTGTTTGATTTGAATGGGCTTAAGAAGATGCAAACGCGATTAGAGCATAGCAGAGCCGCCCACTGGAGAGAACAGTCATTCTGTTTTACCCTCAGTTTGCTGTAAGAATCATGTCAGCATTGTGAGAAGAGTTAAATAACAAGTATACAATTCTTGGAAGCTAAATCTGCAAGAGCATTTTCTTTACAGCGCAGAAATGAATTTCATTATATAACAACCAGCCTGCCTGTCATTCGCTGTACTTGAACAGAGGTTACTTATCCAGACTTGACTTGACTTAGTGCATCTACTCAACACATCGTATGTCGACAACAAACTGCTGGTCGGTGTTCAGACTCAAAACACTGCTGATATTGTGAAAGTTGTGGCACGTCAGAAATCTTGGTTCCCGCTTACCTGAACCAGACAATCGTCTCACATTCCACTTTAACAAACACAATCCAAGAGGAACAGGGTACAGTAAAAATAATGAATCATAGAAAAGCTAAAAACAGCTCAATATACAGTGACTGACTGCTGAGGACCATGCTGAGGCAAGTTCAGCATATCCAGCATAGTTAATTATCTGGCTTCACTAAACCTAACCACAGTCACACTGAGCAGTCACACAAAGCTCATTGTCAATTTCTTAAGCCAATCCAGATCTAAAGCTGCATATTTCTCACAAGACAAACAAACTCTGATCCAATATCAAGAATTTCAAAAATAATACAGGCTAAAGTCAACATAGAATGAACGCTGTAATTTACTTTCAACAATATCACTGTCCCATCATTAAGGCACAAGTAGATTGGACCATAATTGTGTATTCCATTAGACTGATGTATTGCTTATATTCTTAAGGCGTGTGAGGCAGTTTTAGCCTTTAATCTTTGCACTTTAATCTGTCTCTGTTTTATTATATAGAGCAAAAGAACTCTGAAACTGCTTGCAGGCAGTAGTAAAAGAAAAAAGCAAGCAAGACTAGAGTTCCCACCACTGATAATCTACTATATCTTTCATATCCACAGTGTCGATAAAAAGATATTCACTACTGTTAGAAGTTTCCCTTTTATGACTTTTCAAAACTGAATCATGGTCAATATATTTTTACTTTCTGAGCAGTTTTGCAAAGAAGATTGAAGTAGAATTGCAGTGTGCAGATGTTTAAGGCTGATTGAGCCATATTCCGACAGGCTCGCTGCTATAAATGCCAAAGGTGCATCTGCTAAACACTGACTTGACAGAGATGAAGACTTAAACTAATGAGCAACACCTGTCTTACATTTTAGACTTTTAATTAGTTGACATTACTTTGATGAGAAATAGAAGAAAATCAAACTAGATTGACCATGACTCAATGTTAAAAAGCAATAAAAGGGGAAAATTTCCACAAGGGTGAATACTTTGTGTTGGCACTCAGGAAAAGAACTCACATGGTTTTTAATTGGTTGGTCCGTAGATTGCTTTTTATGTGTTGATCTGTTATCTTACATAACCTGTTCCACACCATGGAAATGTGTAAGAAGTCCACCAGCAAAGCATTCCTGAAAACCCAGATTTAAACCTGGAGTCGCCATGCTAACAACATACTAAAACAGCTGCCTAATGCTGTTAGAAAGTCACATGAGGATAGAAGTGGATCAACTTAACAACTAAAGCATAAAGCAAAAAGAGGCTAAAATGCTCTGTGGAGCTATGTGACGATTCAGCGTCGCTTTTTTTGGTCTCTTTTCCATAAAGCGTCATTTGATTCACTTCTTCTATAGAAAACTAACTGGATTAATTTACAACAGTTGGACTGTTAGCCTCTAACTTTTATTGTATTCTAATAACCTCTGTATGTATTTTTATTATCGACAGACACAGAGTGTCACCAGAGAGACCAACTTCAACTTCACTCTGCCTTCCGCCCACAACTCTGAGAGAAACTGCTTCAGGGTTCGATCCAAACTGCACAAGTATTGTGCAGACAAAAGCTTTTGGAGTGACTGGAGTCGTCCAACATGCGACCCAGGTAACCATGGTTCCCTTTTATACTAAATTGTCATATTGATCATTTTTGTACCACTTGGTAATATCAGCCACGTACAAGTTTCCACTATAAAATAGCATTTCTTCTTTTGAGTTCGCTGAACAGGCTTTACAAAATACATAAGATTTTAAAAAAAGCTCAATTAGTGTTTCATATTCTCCTGGTCGCTGTGTTCATCTGGATGTTCCAGTCGGATTTTTGTCCCATTCTGAATTTCTACCTACATGAATTCATGTGTCACAGACAGAAAATTTAAAAAGGCTTTTAGACTTTTTATAAAATAGTGGGTTTAAATTCCTAAAAGAGTGTGTTCCCAGTGAGTAATGGACTTACAAACTAAGCTGCAAAGCATTTCCTTTGTTTAAAGTCTCGACAACAAGTTGTCATGAGCCTCAGCAACTTTATGGATCCCCCACTGGAAGACCCTGATGTCAACATCAACTACTGTAGTAAGTCTAAATTGTATTATTTATTATATACATATTTCTTTATACATACTTTTTTTTTTTTAAAGGCATTGGAGAGTATAAATTGCATATATCATATATTGCCATCGTAGTATTTTAGATCCTTCTGTTCTTATGTAAACTTTGCCATCAGCGTATGTTGCTCCATGTTATTTTCACAGCTAAACAGTACTGTGTTTGATGAAGTAACAATCCAAGTCAACAAATTTTACTGAGATTCACAAACTCATCAATTTTATCAATCACTAATCTCATTTTCATGTGAACTAATTTACCTTTAGCCAGGTGTAACATGTCAAAGATCAGGCTGTCAGACATCATAATCATTTTACAAAACAAAAAATTACCAAACAAAATTTCTAGTGTGGGCACATTTTCTGATCTGTTCTTTTTTCTTGTTAAACTTCGTACAGCCATTAACCCTGCCGTGGTCAGAGCGACTGGAGGAAACGCTGAAGGATCATCTTGTGGCTTCACAGGCTTTGGTGACATGTTAAACAAGGGTTAAAATACTTACTTTAATATTTTTTGTTGAACAACACCTTACATCTTTTGACTTAGAGTACTACGTGTTTGTGTTGGAAAGTACGTTTTCCACAGACATCCCATAATAACCCGACTAGGGAGGAATCTAATTTTTCACCAAACCTTAAGCTACACTAGTTTCTGCTAGTAAATGTACAGACGCAGCGGCCACTACATGTACAGTTCGTGAAGGTATTCAAGGTGGCGCAGTGACTGAAACACAGGTTTAAATCCTGACTGCTGGAGATTTACACTATATTTTAAGTCTCCACACTATCTTTATGTCCACACCTCTGAGTCAAGATTGGCCACAAGAACTGCAATGCACAGTGATCTGAATGTTTACTTACCTGGCATTTTTTATTGTTATTTTTTATCACAGGGACATCTTTTGTCATTTTAGGTACGAATCTAAACTTTGAAGGTACTGACTTCACATGACAGTAGTTTGCTTATTAGGATGTGGGAGTGCTGGTTGATTTCCTTGACTTTAAGCACAGTAAATATAGCTACCGTCCTTCTATGTTGTTGGCTTTGTGCACTGCACTTTATGGATAAGTGAAGGCAACAACATTTTTACACAGTGCGGGTTTACAACAAGGGGCCCAAGAGTTCACTTTTGTCCCCTACAAGGTAATTAGCCATTGGTCAAAGACTGCCTAGCTCCTCTTGTCTTCCGTCCTAGAACCGACCTTCTTAGGTGTCCATTAAAACCTAAGTAACTTATTCTTTGTTTATTCGTTTTGATGTTTAAGGGATGACCACTTACCACGTTGTTTGTTTTTACTGCTACTGATGAAGTATCTGTATCACCAGCTTGATAAATGAAACACACTGCAATTTGTAACTTTGAAATGTCCTATTTTTGTCACAGAATAAATTTTCTATGTCTATTTCTATGTAGTGTGAGACTCCTTTATTGAAATCCAGATGGCTGGTCCAGCGATCATCTGATTTGGACCTTATCAGCACATTAAACGGCCTGTTGTCAGCGCATAAAGTTCCCATATACTGTGCAGTATACTCAGTAGGTTCATTATTTTCCTTTATTTATATATATAAAGATTATACTGTACCATATGCATAATATTGATTTTCCAACTGAACATTGCAAAGCCCAATTTACTCAAACTTCTTCTCCAAATTACACAGTATCTCTTCCAGACCCTCTGTCAATTTTTCTATGACTATAAAAAAAAGACAAATTAACAACACATTTCACAAGAGAACAAAGGTCCATAAATCTAATAAATAGAGCATGAAGTACTTAGCAGTTGGATTTGAGTCCTACATAGCGGGTATTCAGAGTTCAAACCCTTGTTCAGAACTAAAACATCTAATTGGATTGTAAAACATCCTGCTGTTCCTGCTCCCACTGACATTAAAGCACATGGGTAAGTCCCAAATTTCAACAACACGCCACTGCATCGCTGGATGTTAGAACTTTAGCCTAAGTTAAAGTTTATCACGGCAGCTCTAACACGGACCAGACTGATTCCCGGGACGTACACGCTCAGAGACCTGAAGACACGCTGTCCTCTGAGATAGCTGTCACTGTTCTGATTCATGCAAACTGACAGCTTGCTTTGATGTGTGGTTTGCCTGCTCTTTTACAAATGGGATCTTGGTTTTTAACAAGACGTATTAAATGAAGAACCATCAAACTAAAGCTTTGGTAAATTAATGTCAAGCTTAGCTGTAATCTATTTTGTGTTTGAAGTGTGTCTCCACATATGAGATATGATGTTTTGTCTCTTTTAATTGTGCAGAGCAGCCAGCAAATATTTGAACGCTGATGCAGTTACGTACTCCAGTGCACAACATGTTGATGATCTGACTTTTTGGTTTAGAACTACGTGGGTGTTTACATGTGCTTTGGGCGAACATATAACAATTAACCCTGTACATCTTTAGTCAGCTTAGTTTTTTGACAGTGCCAAAGAAACTATTTGATCTTCTGCCATGTTTGGGTGCAGCATTTACGGTGATTTATTATCAATGATGTTGATGTTATTCGACTTCTCTTTGTGTAATATATTATCAGGTGCTTTTGGGTGATGTGATGCATGAAAGCAGCTATAAATTATTCTGACTTTGTTTTTTGTTAGAAAAGGAAGAGATGGCACCTGAACCCCAATGGAGCGTGGTACCTGTCTACATTTACATTGCTGCCGCCATCATTGCCGTGCTGGTTCTGTCCCTGTGTGTCGGGGCAGCGCTCCAAGTGTGAGTAAATACACATGTACAATGCAGTGTACACACACACACACACTGATACACAATGATGTGATGCACAAATGCTCTTCCAATGCTTTTCAGCACTGAATCATGGTCAATATACTTTTAATTTCTGAGCAGTTTTGCAAAGAAGAACGAAGTAGAATTGCAGTGTGCAGATGTTTAAGGCTGATTGAGCCATATTCCAACAGGCTCGCTGCTATAAATGCCAAAGGTGCATCTGCTAAACACTGACTTGACAGAGATGAAGACTTAAACATGATTAAATGAGCAGCACCTGTTTTACATTTTAGACTTTTAAATAGTTGACATTACTTTGATGAGAAATAGAAGAAAATCAAACTAGATTGACCATGACTCAATGTTAACAAGCAATAAAAGAGGAAAACTTCCACAAGGGTGAATACTTTGTGTTGGCACTCAGGAAAAGAACTCACATGGTTTTTAATTGGTTGGTCCGTAGATTGCTTTTTATGTGTTGATCTGTTATCTTACATAACCTGTTCCACACCATGGTAATGTGTAAGAAGTCCACCAGCATCACATTCCTAAAAAAAAGCCCAGATTTAAACCTGGAGTCGCCATGCTAACAACATGCTAAAATGCTTTTCCAATGCAGGAAGAAATCAAGACAAGAGAAGAAGCCGGACTCGCTGCTCACCACCCTGTTTACCAGAAATCTCACTCTTACGGCCGCCGAGGCCTGAAAAGGCAAGAAAGCCTCCCTCGACCTCAAAGAGTACTCCTTTTTGTTTTTACTGCTGCACTCCTCCTGCCTCAGTTTTCAGGGTCCGCGGTTACAGTGATGCAGAATATAACCACTGATAACACATTACTGAATATACTCCACGTTCGACTGAAGGTCACAGCGTGTTGTTGTAACATATAAGTACTGCAGTTGCCTTTTGTATTTAGTGTTTAATGCGAATGCTTGAATTTTACACGGACTGTCGTAACAATGTCACGTTAACCTGGAAACCTTGTGGACTAAAGTCAGTGCTTTCAGGGCCTTTTTAACTGGCTGTTTACTGTTGCAGGCCGATTTAATCAGCAGGGATTCCTTTGCAGATGTTGCAATTACTTATTCTTTGGGAATTTGTTTTTGAAGTTTTACAGTTTGCCAAGTTTCTTGCCAGTTGATTCATCAACACGGGTCTGTTTCATTATTTTCATATTTAAATTTGTTTTATTGTGTCTTTTTGTTTTATCGTTTACTTTGTGCCTAAAGCCTTGCCAGTTGTCTTAGACAATAAAACGGTCTTGCCTTTTAGTGCACAATGCAGGGTTACCACATGTGTAAGAGTTTTGTATCTTTATTCAACATTTAAAGCCAGTGAAGTTTTCAATCATCTAAAGAATTTCAAATGTAACTGAATGATTAATTAAATGTGTGTGTAAGGTGCTTTTAAATGCCACAAGCACTTGTCAGTTTTTGCATTTTTATTTTATTTTTTGTTCTGGGGTTGGCTGCTAAATTACCTATTGAGTTACTATGACTATTTTTGTGCAACAGATACAAAATTACTGAATTACATTCAACAATGAACTGAATGTTCCTCACCCTCCCTTTAACTTTTGTACGTGTTATTGTAATAAACTGTAGAGTCAATCCAATACTGGCTGTTGTGTTTTTAATGAGCTTTGGGCAACATAAAGAGTTTTTGTTTTTTGGCCGTTTATAATTACTATCCGTCTGTTCCGAATAAACAGATATTAAGTGTACCACAACGTGAGCTTTTACTAAAGACATTTAAGTCCTCATATCTTTTAGGACTACTTGTGTTTTCTGTTCCTGTTTGTGGTTTTTAATATCTGAAAAGCACGTTTTGTAAAAATCAGCCTTTTTTTTACTCTTTATTATTTCTCAGCAAGAGTTAAGGGATTTTGTAGCTGTTACCTGCTGTTATGAGAAGATAACGCAAGACGAAATGTCCACAGACCATAATTAACAGTGTCATTTTAAGTTACTGTAAGCGTTTTTCTACAACACATACCAACCTGAATTACATTCAACATTACACTGAATGTTCTTCACCCTCCCTTTAACTTTTGTATATTTTATTGTGATAAATGGTAGAGTTGGTCCAATATCGCCTGTTGTGTTTCTAATGAGCTCTCTGCAACAGAAAAAGTGTCCTTTTTTTATTGCTATCCGTCTGTTTCTAATAACTATGAAATAACACAGAAATTATCAATAACTTTTAAAATAAATAAAAGAACAGATCATATCTTTAAGGAATACTTGTGTTTTCTGTTCCTGTTTGTGGATTTTAGGATATAGGAAGCAACACAACATTTATAATAATTAGCCTTTTTTCTTTTTGTAACTTTATTCGTCAGTCAGCGTTAGGGGATTTTAGAAGTGACTCCTGCTGTTTTGGAAAAACAATGCAAGAAGAAATGTCCTCAGGCTATGATAAAAACTGTTTAATTTCAAATGCTGCCGTTTACAGGCTGATGCGCAGGAATATTTGGAAGAAGGGATGCGTTGGATGTGCTATTAAGGGCATACTGTGGTATTTTTTTTTGTCTGTGAATATTCTCAGTCATCCAGGCCATTGGTTATTCTCGTAGTTTTATCGTAGCAACTGGACTTGCTTGAGTTCCTTGATGACATTTCACCGCTCATCCAAGAGGCTTCATCAGTTTTGACTGACTATTTGGGAATTCCAGATACTTATATCCTAAAGGATCCATTAGAAAAGAGTTTTGTATCAGTTAGTTACTAGAATTCTACTTAAATATCGGTACAGTGGAAGAAAACATGACAAAAGGGAAGAGAAGAGCAACATTGCAGAGGATAGAAGAGTATTTTTTGGTTGAAATAGTGCTAAGATTGTTCTTATTCTGTAATTAAAAACTAATAAGCCACATCTTACAGCTTAAACACTTTTAGATTCTTGATAGAAACACACTTATTTTTGCTGTGTAACCAAAAATACCGAGTGCAGTTCAAACATTAGAGAACATCGTGATGTATATGAAAAAAGTTTTACTGTTTCCTTCTGCCCAATGTCAAATAAAGTGCTTAAAGCTCAAGAAACTTTAGTGTTGAAAAGAATTACAAGACAGCTTGTTAACAAATGTTAAGTTCATAGAATAAAAGTGTGAACCTCCGCCAACAGAGTGTAATTCGGGGCAAAGGGAGAGACGGCCAAGACTGATAATATCGGCTGAACTTGTTGAATTTCTCGCTTAGTTGAAATCTGTCTCTTCCAGGAACCTCGAAAGACAAAACAATGTGGTGAAATATTAAAAGATTGTTGGATTTGGGGCGTCGTCATAGCTCACCTGGTTGAGCTGGCGTCCTGGCAGGCTAAAGTCCCCGATGCTGTGGTAGTGAGTTCAAGTCCGGCTCATGACCCTTTGCTGGAGGTCCTTCCCCCACTTCCCTGTTTCTCTCTTCACTGCACTATCAAATAAAGGCAACAAAAAAAAAAAAGAACGTTTGATTTTAGCGGATTGGTTCTGTCTTATGGAGCTGGTTCATTATTTTTTGGAGTGTTAGAAGTAAACATTTAGAGGTAATTAACCTCTGAATGTTTAAGGTTGAGCGAGAATAAAAGCTGGCCCCTCATAACTGAAATCTATCCGTTTCATCCGTCATAACATATTTGTGTAGCCAAGCAAAGAATAATAATAACTGCTGTCGGCTGTGCATACTGTTTGTGTAGCTTAATGTACTAGAAATGAACGTCAGCAAACTCAGTACCGTGTCACTTTTGGACTATCAGTCTAAATGTAGTCGACTTATTTTCATATGTTTCCATTAAAGTTGTTTAACAGTAAAAAAAAAGAAAAAAAAAAAGAAAGAATGTGTACAGCAGGATGCTAAGTTGGTAAAATGTCTTGGCTATCAGCTGCTCTTATACAGAGTTTTGTCAAATTAGACAGTCAAAAGACAACTTTTGGGTTTCACAGTATGTTGGAAAACCAGAAAACTGACGAATTTAGAATATTGTTCATGTGCAAATAATAGTACTCTGAGCTGTGAGGCCTACTTGCAAAAAAAGGGAACAAGTTGCATAAGTGAAGAAAAAACTATATTTAAAAAAAAGGAATATTCTGAAGCTCTTCTTCTAATCCGTTTTTTTTTTTTTTTTTAAATACTGAATATTTGAAGTTTGGCCCTCAGAGTGAAATGTCATCATTCCTCATTCATTTCAAGTCTTGCCACTCATTTGTTTTTCACTGGATTGTGTTAAAATTTGTCTATGAAACTCAAAGGATCATTTCCAGCTTGTTGCTGTTTTATCGTGATCAAATTCACAACAATAAGTAACTTTAACAATGAATCTTAACAGTTAATGTTTCCGCTAGTTTTACACTTTCCTGCAACCAATTTTGCATTCAGTGTCTCATACATTTATATGCATAGTTACGTTTTGTTTTTTAAACTGTGGCTAGCACAGGTCTTACTAAATACAGCTCAGTAGGAGCTAAACTGAAAATCAGTTTTTAAGGTATTTCGACTGCATATATTACAAAGAACAATAATTTGATATTAAATCAAACTTTTTTAAAGGGAAAGTGTTAATATTCTCATAAAAAATGGCATAAAAATGGAAAGATGTAATATTACTTTGTCATTTAACAATTTTCTGTAAAAAATACTGTTCTTATACTTGTAACATTTTGGACAAACTAAATCAATGGAAACGCCACTGAAGCTGAGGAACTCCTATTTGTGTTTGTACAGTTTCATGTTGGAACTCAAACAGAAGCTTAAACTTGGTTTCAGATGATGCATTTCAAGCACATATCTGTCAGTGGAGAGATGAGCTGTTAAATCGAGACCACCCTCGACTCTCTCTCATATCTAATCGCTTGTTATCGCAAAGGGAGCATGACGGCTCAAGGCGTTCTTGTCTCTCATTTACTTGATTGAGTGGCTGTAGAACGGCACGTAATTCCCGCAACTGTTCCAAAAATATATCCTCAAATACTTCTGATTTTTCCTAAACACCTGAAGAGTAGAAGGCCACTGCTGGCTTCTCGCCTCAACTTCACAGAGACAAATCAAGCAGAAAAGTTGTTGATTCTTGTTTTATTGTATAGTTTCCAATTGTACAGTCATCCTCAAAAGTATTCATACCCTCCCATTAAAGAAGGAAAAAAACAACTGTCATGAAATAAGTTAAATTGACAAAAGTAATAATAAAAAATGTAATGAAAATCATGACATTGCTTTTGAATTGTGGTTCAACACATATATATACAGATGTATATATACCCATAAACAAGCAAACAGGCATAATGCTTGTTATATTTTATTGAACAACCCTTTGAGCCAACCACTGCAATTTTTCTGCAACTCTCAGTCAGACTTCTGCACCTGTTGACAGATATTTTGGCCCACTGCTCATCAGCAAAGTGCTCTAATTTGTCCTGGACAGTTTTTATTTATTATTATTATTATTATTATTCTTTTCAACCACAATTCAAAAGCAATGCCTTATTTCACTAAATTAATATTTAGCAAATTTTTATTTATTATTACTTTTTTCAGTTTCTAGTTATTTAAGTGACTATTGTGAATTTTGCCTTTTCTTTAATGGAGGGTATGAATACATTTGAGGATGACTGTAGGCGTACCAGAAGACATGTAAGGACAGGTTCATATTTTTTGGTCTCCTGAGGATGCTGCTGCTAAAGTCAGCTAAATCCACACATAATCTCTATAAAAACAATAAAACCATCTGTCAGTGGGTGATAACGCGTGTCTGTTAGTCACTTTACAAGTTGGGTGCGTCGGTTCGTTGAACATCCAGTTTAACTGATTCTTTGGTTTCAGTCGTTCATTTGTTGTCTTTCCTCACCCAGTGAAATGGACCCTATCGGTGTCTCTCTAATGGATGAATCAACACCTACAGAAGCTCACCACAATCACGAGGTCTCACACAGTGCTGCTGTTTCACTCACACCTGTATCGTCAGGCCTCAAATAAACTGTCAATCATCACTCGTGTGGCAGGTGAAGGCACCGGTGCGTTCACTGACACCAGAAATATTTGGCAATGCCTGCTGAAGGGGTGAGAAGATGTTTCAGCAGGACTTCTGTTCTGCTGTTTCTGTGTAAATGTTACTCTTCTCATCTTATATTTCGTTATGAAATGTCACCTGAATCAAATGTCCTGTAAAGGTTAGCAGCAATAACAGCAAACACATGAATATTTAGCATTTTGTGGTTTAATTCATTTGTGTATTGAAACATCCGTGTAGTTCCAGTCAAAATATCCGTTGTCGGTCTATTAGTGTATGCAGGAGAATAATACAATTTTGATCTTTTTTTTAAATTTATGAAATATTTCACTTTGTAATATGTAAAAAAAAATTTTAAAAAACTGTTAGCTTATTGTATTATGACCTGGCTCAAGACGGATGCAACAGAAGGAGACACACCAAGTTTCAAAAATTAAAGCTTAAAACTTACTAGAAAGAATCTGTGAAGCCACCTGCAGCAGGCAACCCCACAAAACTATGATCCTTGAGCCTACTGGAAAAATCTCAGTAAACAGAGCATCAAGACAACAACGCTCACCTTCTGGACGGCACCAAATAATCAAAGTTGGATCACAAACTACACAAAGTGTGTCTCCCCCAAAACCACTGGCG